AGTGCTACTTAAATAGGGCAAGGCAAATAGAGTTTAATAAGTATAAAACAGGTTTCACTGGGTTGTATCAGTGACGAGGATGAAACGTGATAGAGATGAAATGTGATGTGAGTGAAACATGATATAGGTGAAACACGATAGATATGAAATACTGATGTAGATGAAACACATCAATGATGAGATCAGTTGTACAGTTACAGGGTCAACGATGAATAGTTAGAAAAAGAAAAAGAACCCCCCTCCAATGCTGTAACATATTCCTTGTCTGAAGAGTTCCAGTTCCCTACAGGTTTGGCAGTACAGAGTGCTGCTGCCATAGTAGTTGATACCCATCACAATCCAAATGCTGGGTTGCCATTGATGAGAACGCCCATAGGAGGTCCTGTAATGAAATTGGTGTAGGCTCCAGGAAAATGGGGTAAAACTTGTTCCAGGGGATTGACATCTTGGACAGGGGTAGAGGTATCAAAGGGAATTGATTGCCATGCCCTTGTAACGTTGTTGCTGGGATGTTGAATAATGTCATTGCTGTAGACCACAAATTCCTGAGGATTGCTACTGTGAGCTCCTTCAAATGCCATAACATACTCACTGATGTCAGTGAGGAGTTGGAGATTAGGAGCGAGTGTGATGCTGCCATTGTTGGAGATGTCAGAGGCAAGAGGGGGCATGTTGGGAGAGTCAGTAGTTACAGTGGTAAGACTGTCAGGGTTTGGGGAGGATGAGACGTTCATAGGCAATGAGGATAGGAAGACATGTATAGGGGCAACATGGTAAGATCTGGTGGACACTTCCGAGGTATTTTAGGGAACTTCCAGGGAGCCAGGGAATTGATGCAGGACTATAGCGTCACTGTTAGATGTCTCCGAGGGACCTGGAACCAGGAATGGATGGCAAGTGACATTTGATAGAGGTTCAATGGGGTATCTGAAGCCTCCTTCTCTGAGGAATTCCAGCAAGGAAGTGTCAGAGTCCCATTGGGAAGGGAAACTTAGAATGGGATGGACAGGCACTGGCATCTCTATTATTCCAGCAGTGAAGCACTCTTCTAGTGTCTGGATGTGGGAAGGGTAGGGCATTGGTGCTCTCTGTGTACCAGGCACTAGAGGATTATTGTTCCTAATAGGAACCAGAGGACAGTGACACAGGTCAGGGGTGGAAGTCACATTGTTGTTCCTGACATGGTTGTTGCGTTCAGCAGGCATAGAAAGACAAAAATGAAGAAGTTTTCTTGAAAACACAAGACACAGAATACAAAAGATGGCCAGTACTACAGACAAAGTGAGACCCCAGTCACTAATCTTGATGCTCCCGGATATATTCGAAGTATACTTGATTGGGATTGTTGGAATCCCTATTGGCCGTGATGACTGGGAGGTTAGTGGTTGTATGCGGGAGGGGGCGCTGTGCAGTTGCGGCTATGTTGAAAGCCTGCTGATGCTCGCGTTTGAGGTGCCGGATGGTGATGCAAAGGATTAGGGGGACAATGAGGGTGAGGGTGAGGGTGGATAGGAGGCTGATTAGGAAGAGCCCCAGAAGGGATAGGGGTAGGATTTGCTAGTGTTTGTCTGCAACGACGAGGGTGGCAGCGGTGAGGGGAGCAAGTTGGTTCACCACTAAGTAGGTCAGTAAATGGTGTGGGGATGAGTGGGGCTAGAGATGTTACTTGTACTCTGGTGGGTCACTCGGGGGTTTGGTTGACAGTGGGGGTTTCTGGTTGTTGTGTGAGGACAAATTTGATTTCGTTCAATTTGTTACAACCCTTTGACTCTGTTACAGGCCAGTGGATTAAATGAACTAGGGAAAATTTGAGAACTCCAATGCCTCATCCCTCCTGCTCTTCTAATCAAGATTTCCACCCAACCTCTGTTGCCAACCACAGCTGTAGGATATCTTGACAGGGTCCAATCCATCTGTCAATCTATGATTGATATCTTCGGTGATAAACTCCTATTCATACCCTCATCCAGTCGCTCTTTCGGTCACAACAAATTTGTATGCCACAACCAATCTTCAAAGGAAGCATCATCTAATGATCAATGGATTAGGTGGCTGTCAAATAAAGATCACCGAGAACATATGGAAAAGAAGCTCTGTTTCAGATGTCACAAACCCAAACATCAGAGTCGAGTCATCAATGCCCAAACAATTGCATCAGAGCAATTGGATCTTAAGACACATTCACTCAGGATAAGGATAAAACCAAGGACTCCTCTGATGAGGAAGGGATAGCCAAAGAATACATTCAAGCTATTTCCTCTGAGAAGGATTTTTGAAGTCTTTGACCACTGTGATGTCAGGTCGAAGTAATGGCACTAAGGATTATTTATATCAGGGGAGATTAGCTCATAAATCTATTTATTTGCCCTGTACATTGAAAACCTATGCCGAAACCATCACAACTGAGGCGTTGCTCAACACAGGAGCAATGGAAAATTATATTGACATCCAATTTGCTAGAGATTATAGTCTCCAACACCAGAGCATCACACCCAGACCAGTGTTTAATGTTGACAGCTCACCAAATAAAGCCACAGCCATCAAACACAAAGTCTTCTTCACCATATCCTTATCCAGACAACCAATGAAGATTGAAGTCTATGCAACAGTACTAGACAGAAATCCAATCATTCTAGGACTCTCATGGTTCAAATGCTTCAACCCAGTAGTCAATTGGGTTACAGGACAAATGCATTTTTATTGGGACCAACTCCTATGAGCAATCAAAACCATTGCCAGTAACATCCCAGAATACTTGAAAGCATTCCTGTCAGTATTCAACAAGAGTACAGCCAAACATCTACCAGAACAAAAACCCTGGGTGTTAAGGGACCTGTCACAGAATTTCATGGTGTCTATCTTATCTTCAGCACCTAGATGATCTATATCTTATCCAATTAGATATCTACCTAGATAAGGATAGCATAATACATGGTGACATGTTACCTAGTTCAGGTCCTAGCTTATCAGAAGCATGTCAAATGGGCTATCATACATTCACACGAGATTTCCCCATTTGTACTAGAAACACATATAGTCGTTCAGGTGATCATCACATAACAGACTGCTGACCAAACACATGGACAGGGCAATGGTTTACGCACTAGGTATTCTTAGATAGCTAATAGCGTATTGTGAGCATCAGTCATCTTAGGTGTTAGGTGTACTACCAGTAGTATCTGGGGTCTGGTCCCACATGTATAAAATACCAGAGCAAAACAGCGTAGTAGGGCAGACTTGATATTCTCTAGTCACTCTAGCTACTTGACTTTCTCAACTCATCCTCTGAGTCTAACCACTCCCAAGACAAGCACATTGCTTACCTCTTGTAACCTTCAGCAATCCACAAGTGAGTGTTGGGTTAGGGTTTAGAGTTAGGGTCAGGGGCTATACCCTGACAGGACCTAATGACTGAGGGTCGGGAGTTCAACTGTTTAACTGTTACTGGGACTTGTACATGCTATTGTCCTACACTGAGACTTATACTTGTAAACTGAGCCACTAGCTGATAGTGGTTTGAGAGCAAATACTGGTTGAAGCAGCACTTCAGACTAGAACTGGAATAGACAACTGAGTCTATTACTGAGGGCTGTCCCTATGAAGTATACGTAGGGAGCAAGAGGATAAAACTAAAGTACAGTAGTGCAACCAGTGCTACTTAAATAGAGTAGAGCAAATAGAGTTTAATAAGTATG